GTGCGTCAAGGGTGCATTCTGTCCCCTCTTCTATTTAATGTCTATGCCGAAAATATCATCAGAGCTTCTCTTGAAGATCGCCCTGAAGGTGCCAGAGTCAATGGAATCATCATTAACAATATAAGATATGCCGATGACACCGTAGTCTTAGTAGAAACAGAAGACCAACTAAAAATATTGATGAACATACTATCAGAAGAAAGTCACAGACTAGGTTTGGATATTAATCTTTCCAAAACCAAAATCATGGTATTCCACAAGAACCCCCATAAACAAATTACACCCAACATACAAATCAATGGTATCACCCTTCAGAGCTCCCAAAGCTTCATATACCTGGGCAGAGAGCTAAACAGTCAGCTAGACCACTCAAAAGAAATTAGAAGACGTATTGAAATAGCAAGATCTGGCTTCATGAACATGCGTAAAATGCTCTGTAACCCCAAGCTATCAATCACAATAAGGCTAAGAACACTAAAGTGTTATGTGTGGTCTCTACTACTATATGGCTGTGAGATTTGGACATTAAAACAGTATGACGTCAACAAACTGAATTTATTTAAAATGTGGATGTACCGCTGAATGCTAAGAATAAGCTGGACCAGCAAAACTACAAATGAAGAGGTACTGGAAATAATGAACACACGACCTCATCTGGTTAATACAATCAAAATTAGACAGACGTCATATCTAGGACACATACTGCGCCATAAGGAATTTGAGCAGCTCCAGGTAATATTAGAAGGCAAAATCGAGAGTAAAAGAGGTATAGGAAGAAAGAAGAAATCCTGGCTCCGAAACATCAGAGATTGGACTCACACAAAAGGAAATGACTTAACCCATCAAGCCCAGAACAGAGAGAAATTTGCCATATTGATCGCCAACCTCAATAGAGAAGGCACTTAGGAGGAGGAGGATGTTCATCTGTGTTGAATCTAGTAGTCTTCCTGTTTAAATGTTTCAGGTCCTGTCTTCATTGTGTATGTTAATGTAGGTCTAATTGCTGCTTTATAGATTCTTGTTTTCGTGTCTTGTCGTAGCTGTTTGTTCATTCAGATTGTGTCATTAAGATATCCCGCTGTTTTACTTGCTGTTTTTTTTGCTACAAGCTTAGTTGTACTTCTTGAACATCTCCATAACTAGTTATATCTAGTCCCAGATATCCAAACCTTGCTACCTCCTTTATTATTTTTCCATCAATTTCGATTTTAAATCGTAGTGGGTATTTAGATGTTGCCATAAATTTGGTTTTTCTGCTGATATTATTATATCGTATTTTTTGGCTATTGTATTGAAGATGTGTATTAATCTTTGGAGGTCGTCTTCTGTCTCGGCTATTAATGGGGCGTCGTCTGCATAACATAATATTTGGATTTCTTTGTTCCCCATTCTGTAACCATGACCTTTTCTCATTTATCGTTGCCTGTGTTTCATTAAGGAAGTAGATGTTTTCGATGGTTTGTATAATATTGATTGGTATTGTCTTTTATACAGTAGGTGTAAGACGTTTTCGAAACGAATGCGATCAAAAGCCTTTGCCAGGTCTCTTCTTACTTTCTATAAGAAGGTTGCCTCTATGGAAGATTGTCACTCCATCTCTTGCACGGTCGGCTTATACTTCTTACCACGTGGTGATTTATCCCTTGATATTTTAAAGACCCTTGTGTCTTGTAAGTGTTCCGGCTGATTATCTTTCTCAAGTGATCTATTTTTGGCATGCGTTTACACTTTATAGTTTCTAATGAAATAGGTTAAGGAGGGGAGAACTGTTCGTCTCAAGTTGGTTATTCAGAATTATATCTGTGTTTTTTAATTTGTTTATTTTCATAGATTCTAACAAGGATAGCTTAAGGCCTTTATTTTGCATGTAAAGAATTTTAAATTTGTCATTAAAAGAATGATTGTGATCTAGAAGGTGAAGTGCGTATGTAGAATCTGTTTTTATATTATTGAAAGCCCTTTTATGTTCTGCTATTCGTTTATTAAAGTTTCTACTAGTTTGACCGATGTAAGTTTTTCGGCAGTTGCCACATTTATGTTTGTACACACCACTGTGTAAATGTTTTTTATTTTGGCTCTTGTTGTTTTTGATATATTTGCCTAGGTTGAAAGTATAAAAACAAATTTTTCAGTATTTTATTGTTACATAAAATAAATTTCCATCAAGTTACGGTCGAATCCATCAATCCATTCATTTTTCTACTCGTTCATAACTTGTATATTACATTTTGTTATCAGCACGTCACTTCTTATTCGGTCTTTGTATAAATGATATAATTGAAAGGAATGTAGAAACGGAAAAAGACTTAGTCTTGGCATTTATAGTCTTAAAAGCTACGATGTGTTATCTAGAAATATCTAGAACAAGTTAGGTAAATCGTAAGTCTTAACGTAAATCAAACCGAGACTCGACTCAATCAAGGAGAAAAAAATGGCATGGTTCGGACATCTAACCCGGATGAACAATAATAGACAAGTAAAAAGAGTGTGGGACGCCAAACCAATAGGGAAGAACAGAAGAGGAAGACCCATTAAAGAATGGAACAGTGACATCTCGCACATACTGCAGAGTAAGGGTAAGACTTGGCAGGAACAAGATGGCAGGAACACAGATGGCATACAATAGGTAGGAATGGAGAAAGTTTGTTAAGAGCTAGGACACCTCAGAAGACTGTAAAATATTGTAATATAAAGAATTGTATTATAAACGACTCAACACCGAAAGGTGCAAACGGGTCTACTGATTAAGTAAGTAAAAAAAAACAATGCAAAATTAATTGTACATCTTCAAGGATTTCCCTCGCATACCTTTTACAACCTTTAAAACCACGTATAAGAGTTTTTTAGCTGTTTTTTTCTGTGCTGACCTACTTTAATAACAGTGATTTTAGTTTTTTATTTTTTAGTGAAAGAATTTTACAAAATTTTTTTAATGCATTTGTTAATTTTTGGTAAAATTAGCATACTTGTTTGATTAAATTAAAAGATCTTATTTTTTTGAGTAATGTTCCTTATTTTTTTACCAGCTGTAAATATTTCATAAATAAAAAAAGTTAGTGTAGTAACTCAATTAAAATAATATTTGGAGTAATCATCCAATAAACGCTGGAAAATAGATGCACAGCATAACAAACTGGAGGCCGAAAGAGAACAGGAGAGAAGGGGGCACTGGATGATGAGAATGATTAATGAAAACAAATGGAAGATGCATATGTTTAACATTGCGTGAACAGGGGCTGAAGATGAAGAAGATACAATAAAAAATATCTATGACAGTAAAATAAAACAAAAACTCTTTTTAAAAAAGCTATCGAAAATATTAGAAAACTTGTGCATGAAAAAATAAAATTGTGGTGGAAAATTGGTATTAGTTTTATAATGATCTTTTTTATTTTTTTTTACATTTTTGGCATAATAAGAGCTCGCTCCTCTGCCCTTATTTGTTATGTAATAATAATAATAATAAAATTGCGTAATACCCTCCCTTGGAAACTAAGAATTGTGTAACAAGTCACTGTAATATAAGAAAAGTTTTGTGAATAATACAAACATATTTTTAAGCCAATAAGTTCTTGGTATATTGATTTTTCTCGTAAAATAAAATACATTAGATGCAGTGGCTAAATTGTTACAATTTATTTCTTAAGTCAGGACTCGAAACCAAAACACGAGTTTATGCTAAGCACGTCCTTTTCCATTACTCTCGACCACCCAAAGAAATTTTACAACGTGTTTCTCGCTCTTACGAAGCGTTATTTGCTTTCTTTCGCTTCGACTACTCTTTTGGTCTTTTCTCAAACTGATCCGAGTACTTTCGGAAGTGAAATGTTGTTATGAAGTTTGGAACTAATTAGCGCAAGTAATACACTTCCTGGGTAAAAATTAAAAAAGTAGTAGCTTGAGTGAAACTCGTGTACTGTTTAACAAACGTTAATGAAAGCCGACACAGACCATTTAATATATTTCAGCAATTCATTTTTCTGCTAGCAAGTTTTCTACAAGAAATAAGTGAAGACTCGGCAAAACTTACAGAGTTAACTAGTAAGAACAAGTTATTAAAATTTAAATTTAAAAAGTGTCATGTTATGTAAAGTTCTTTTAATACTTGTATTAGTATTGATATAGTGTGTTTATTTAATTCAGTCCCAACTGGCAGTAAATTTACTAATTATTATTAGGTGAGTATACACTAGTAGCCAAAATTCTGGAAACTTTACAAAAAATATCGTTTTTCCAGCAACACTCGTCTCAAGATCGTGATTTATATAGTTTATCAGTACAATTACATTTTTATTTTATTGTTTTATATTTCTGCTTAATATTTTATATATTTCTCACTCTGTATATATTAACATAAGTATTTATTAAAATATGGAAACAGATTCAAGCGAAACGACGACAATTCGAGATTTGTGAATGGCAACATTGGCATTACTGTTATAGCATAAAAATTTTCTTTATCTATACTTTTATTATCTATACTATCGAATAAAAGCCTAATGAGCCACACTTACTTAAAATTTTCCTCAAAATACTTGACAACAGAATTAGACGCAAATGCGAAGATCTTGAAGATACCCAATTTGGTTTTACAAATGCTATGGGAACCAGGGAGGCACTTTTTGCGCTTAACATTCTATTACAAAAATGCCGTGACCAAAAAAATATGTATTTGCATGTTTCGTGAACTTCTAAAAGGCATTCGATAAAGTATAGCATGTAAAATTAATGCAAATACTGAAAAATATCGGAATAGATGACAAGGATATTCGTGTCATTAAAAATTTGTACTGGAATCAAACTGCTATCGTAAAAATTGGAGATAACTACACCGATGAAATCCCCATATAACGAGGAGTCAGACAAGGTTGCATTTTGTCGCCAACATTGTTCAATGTTTACTCGGACCAGTTATTTTATTTATATAAGTATAAATTTATATAATTTATATAAGTATATTTTTTGCTCTAGTGATGTATCTGAAATTTATATGAACCTACATTTCATTTCTTTAACTAAGTATATGGTAGGACGTAAATAGCTCTCTGAAGTCATGGCCATTTTCTTTACTAATCTACCAATATTTTGTTTTTGTTGAGAACGAATCAATTTTGTGTCCAAAAAGGGAACAGATTGTGATTCGTTTTCAACCTCAATTGTGAACTGGATGTATGTATGGGTTATAACTATTAAAAATGAAAAACAAGTTTTCTGTTTTATCACTACATAAAATATTATAAATAGGGATGGCTAGTATTAGGTCGTATATATATTTATATGATAACTCAACAAAAAGTCTTTTAGCATTTGTAGATCTTGTGACTTTCTCACTACCTTATATAATAACCAAGAGACAGATTCTCAGCATATGTACTTCGTTAACATATAGAGGGGTGGGTTCGATAATAAATAAATTGGACCCTACATTCTATCTTCGGTATAAACGTACGAATTGTACTTGTGGAAAATATGCTGCTAGTTCAACTACATGACGAAAATGTAAATATTGTTGGTATGTACTTTTAGCACTATAATGTATTGGCTCATTAGAGGCTCATCGTTTCTAAATGATTATTTTGGGTATACTGGCCTTGATATTATCATAAGTGATATAGACAGAGTGTTGGAAACATGGAAAAACTATTGTTCAGAGCTCTACAGGGAAGAACACGTAAATCTAGGCCATACTTCAGCCCTCGAAAACACTGAATACAACCCTGAACCTGAAATTCTGCTTTCCGAGATTGAAGAAGCTGTAACTCACCTCAAGAAGAATAAATCCCCTGGCGGCGATGATATCAAGGGAGAGCTCCTTCAGAACATGGGAGACAAAGGATGTTACATATTGTGGAAACTTTGTAATAAAATTTGGAGATGCGGAAAGTGGCCCAGAGAATGGCGCACATCATTGTGCATACCAATCCATAAAAAAGGAACAACTACAAAGTGTACTAATTATCGTACCATCTCACTGATTTCCCATCCAAGCAAAATATTACTAAGAATCATTAAACGCCGTTTGCAACAGTATTTAGACAACCAAATTCCCCAAGAACAAGCAGGCTTTGTCAAAGGGAAGGGTACGAGAGAGCAAATCCTTAATATGCGGCAGCTCATAGAAAAGGCCAGCGAATTTAAAATTCCAATAATAATCTGTTTTTTAGACTACCAAAAGGCATTTGATTGTGTAAAGTGGGAAGTTCTCTGGACAGTTCTTCATGAGATGGGAGTTCCAGATCATTTGGCAATAATAATTAAAAACTTATACGAAGATAACTCAGTTAAAATAAGAATTGAAAACCAGCAATCTGATACCTTCAAAACCAACAGAGGTGTACGACAAGGCTGCATACTATCTTCAGACCTGTTCAATTTATATGGAGAATACATAATGAGGAACGCACTCGATGGATGGAGAGGCGGCATCTCCATTGCAGGGAAAAAGATCTCAAACTTAAGATTCGCAGACGATACAACACTGATAGCAACATCTGAAGAGGAGATGTCGAGACTGATAAAGAGAGTAGAAACCGAAAGCAACAAGTGTGGGCTCAAGATTAATAATCAGAAAACAAAAATCATGATTGTTGACCACGCGAATATCCTCCAAACAACAGGCGCCCTAAATCAATTCGAGAAAGTAGACGAGTTCACGTATCTAGGATCTTCCTTAAGCAATGCAGCCTCCTGCCATACGGAAATTCGCAGAAGAATAGGAATGGCCAAGAACGCGATGAGTCGACTGTCAAAAATATGGAAGGACCGCTCTTTGTCCAAAAAACTCAAAATGAGACTGGTACGGACACTCGTTTTTTCAATCTTTAGTTACGGTGCCGAAACATGGACAATAAAATCAGAGGATAGGAAAAGGATTGACGCATTTGAAATGTGGTGCTGGAGACGAATGCTACGCGTCTCGTGGACGGAGCACAGATCCAATCAGTCGATTCTCGAAGAGCTAAACATTCAGACCAGACTCTCCTCTCAGTGTGTTGCAAATGTTTTAAAGTTTTTTGGCCACATTGCGAGAAGAGACAATGACAACTTAGAAAGACTAATTGTGTGCGGAAACGTAGAAGGACGTAGAGGCCGAGGACGCTCACGTATCCCATGGTCAGATCAAGTACAGAAAGCCACTGGAGAGACGTTTTCCGAGTCCATGAGAGCAGCATAAAGACGCAAAAGATGGAGAGAATTGACAGCCCGCATTGTAGGGAATCACGATCCTCAGCAATGAGGAAACGACAAGAGAGAGACTGGCCTTGAAGATCACGTAATTGTAATTTAGTAGATTATTATATCTGGGTTCATTTAAAATGACAAGTATATTTTTACGAAATAAATACTCCAACTTATTAGAATACTTAATTATTGGAATACAAGAAGCTATCAGGGAAATAAAAGACCAAGTGTAATTTAACAATCGGTTAGAAATACTTTAAAAGAGCAACGAAATATATAGACGAAAGAAGAGGACATTTTAAGGAATTGTCTTGTAATCCGTATCAATTTAATTTATGTCATGTTAAATTTTTGCACAATTAACGAAATTTTTTTATGAGAATAAAAACGACCTGACTTTTTCCAGTTCTTTCAACTTTAAAAAATAACATTATCACAATTCTTATGCTCTTTAGTACTCAGCCTCGCGCTAGTCTTCCGTAGCGTCACTGTACCACTTTTTTTTATTTTTAAGATTAAAGATAAAGATATTTTTTAAAAAAATATCATGATTTTTAAATATAAAGGAAAAATATCGAGAAACTAAGGGCATATAATTAAATATATGCATTTTATTACTTGGTTTTATTTGGTTCAAAAGAAAAATTTAAAAAGCAGTCCTCGTATTATTTAAAACCTATCTAAATCACTTGACAATACCTGCCACACAAATATAATAGGTGTTATGTAAGGTTGCCATTGTGATTGGCATAGAAGAGTGATCACTTACCATATTGTAAACGTTTTCCCAGTAGTCGAGGGTAATGAGCTGAAACGTTGTTAGCATCGACCACAGGAAATTGTCGAAGCTAGTGTAACCGTGGTTGGGATTTCCGCCAGTGCAAAGGCATGTGTGCGTCGGAGGACAGTGTCGAGATCCGGTGACATTGCCGCAAAGATACGGTTCTCCTGTCGAATTGCGCAGCAACCAATTCGAAGGGTCTTGTGTCCAGCTAAAAATACAATAAATGTCTGTATAAGTTAAAAAAATTTTTGATTACTTCAGATATATTAATATGTTGTTTTTATACATCTAGAAACATCTAGTAAAATGATTAATGGACATGGTATTCGGGAAGTGCCGTAATTTGTTATATTAAATTATGAAAAAATATGTTAAAAATAAAAATCTGAATTAAATTATAAAACTAGTAAATAAAATAATTACTATTTAAATGGAAATAAGCCACAATTGAGACTATGAGGGCAATAACGGACTAACCCCAATATTAGTAAGTGTTAGAAAATGGGTTTGAAAAAAAGTAAAAATTAGGAGATCAACTATAACCTTGTTTAAGAATATTTTTTGGTTTGAATGAATGGAAGTATGTTATATAATATATTACTTGTTTAATAAATTTGATAATAAATTTTGGATAAATACCTATATTCGATTTTTTAATGTGGGTTGGTCCACTTTGCATTTAGTTAGTGAATGGGTTATCCCACAAAATAATACACTCAATATTGCATCAAAGACTTTATTACCATAGAATGTGTAAAAAAACATCAGAAGTTAAAATGTCTAATCTTCTTCGTCGTCAAATGAGCCAATTACTTCACCTCCGGCTGCTTGCGCTAAAGATCTCAGGTTTTTATAAAGGTCATGGTGTATAGGGGGTATCAATTCCATTGACCGAAGAAGATCTTTTTTTTTAGCTTCGTTAATGGTATTACCATTTGGATGCAGAAGTGGCAATTCCATTGTATTCTTGGAAACAGATTTCCTTTTATTAAGATCCACTGTTTCAAAATACACATCTTCATTGTTCGACTACTTATATTGGATAGTATTGGGAAAGTCTTTCCTAAACCTTAACCATTGAATTTTAAGCCGCTCTGCCTTGGTTTTTGATTCGGAAACTTTCCTGTTGGTTGTCTTATTTTCAAGCAATCTCGTAGAAAAAAAATCTCGTAAAATTACTGTAAACGGATCATGATTTTTATAGAAATTTAACTACGAAGGAAGATATACCAAATACGTTACCCGAGGATGAAAATAGTAATGACGAGGAGAGTGTACATACAGAAATTGAAATTTTTAAAAATTAAATAAACTTTTACGTTGTATTTGACTATAAATGTACCCCCTTAAGTACACATAAAACTTTTCAGTTTCACATTTTTTTATTTATAATTAATAATTAGATTTGTTACTATATCTTCCGGAAGGGCTTTTGTTCTTTAATAAATAATTACGAACCTAAGTAACTAGGTCCTTTTTACTAGTAGATCTATTTTAATCCAACAAATTCAAAGCCATTTCCAAAAATTGTTTAACGAAAATATCTTATTTGTATCCGTAACAAGAATATTAAATTTGAAAAAACTATAATTGCGTTTTTCCCGAAACTTAAAATTTAGACTTATACCACTTTTCTCCAACATCCACCATATGTTTTCTGAACTGATCTAAAATTTAGTTTGGAAAAATATTGTTGGGAATGTCGATGAGGGTTTAAATAAAATTATAACAACAGTTAAGCAAATCTGTGAAACGAATTTAAAAGACTAAAAGCTAAAAGATTAAAACGAAGGCTTGGATGAGAAAACACACATTAAATTTAATAGAGCAACTGCGACTAGCAAATGACAAAAAAACTTTAGAAACGTATACAAAAAGAAATTCGATGTAAAATATGAAAAGCAAAGAGTCTACATCTAACCGAACAGTATCATGAACTTGAAGAATTTGAAAATAGGACGATTTATGTATACAAAAGTAAAAGAAGCGGCTGATATCTTCAATACGAGACAAACTGCACTACTATATGATGAAAATGGTAAAGTAATATTTAAAGTAGAGAACAAACTTAAAGAATGAGAAAATTACGAACCTATTCGAAGACGATAGGATTGGTTTTCCTCCGGATATTACTAACCGCGACGGACCCATATTAACACACTTTGAGATAACACAAGCCCCAATCATTAAAAATGGCAAAACGGCAGGTTATGATTGCAGTGTTTTTTTATGACTGCAGGGCTTTTTATAAGGGATTTGCATTCCAAATGAAACATAGAAGCTTATATATTATAGCAATGTTTTAGAGGGTGTAACTGTGTTTTTCATCACCATATATACCACCCAATGGTTGATCCAATTCAGTGTTCATAGCTCTACTTATATTGAGCCAAGGTGAAGTGAAGAATTGTGTACAACGATATGGACTCAGAGAGAGAAATGAAGAGAGACTGGGTGATTTCTGTATATAGAGAAACTCATAGGTAAAAACCTTGTTCAAACTTCCTAAACGTAGATTATACACATGGGGGTTACTAACTGGCAATACCAACAAAATAGTCAGAAATCAAATAGATTATATTATTATCGTCAACAGAAAATATAGAAATTCTATAATATCATCCAAAACTTATCCAGAAGCGGACATAGTTTCCGGTCACAATTCGGTTGTTTTGTCGATAAGAGTGAAACTTAAGAATGTAAAGCACCTTGGCTCCACGAAAATCCATATAGGCCATGTTATGAGAGAAAAGATAGTTATTATTACAGATTATTATGCAAGGCAAAATTTAGGAAAGCAAACTGTGGGAAGACGAATAATATCGTTGCTTAAGAACTCGAGGAAATGGTTTGAATGCAGCCATATCATACTAGTCATGATGATTTCCAGCCTTCGATAGAAGATGGAACTTAAAGAAGAAAAAGAAGCTCTATTTAAGAAGACAACACCCAAAACCTGTGCTGATTATAGAACCATCAGTTTGTTAAGCCATTTATTAAAAAAGGTGATGTGTGGCAGTAATATATAAGTGACTAGAGTGACTACACTCTACATTGATTTAAGTACTAAGAGAGATTGACTTGAATGACATGACAGAGACGATGCCATAATTGCTAATTTGTATTAGAATTAAAACAACATCTATTACTTAACAGTGTCGTTAAGAGCTGTCTTCTTCTTCTGGTTCCTATCCGTTTCGGATGTTGGAAATTATATTGGCAATCATAACCTTGCTCGCTGCGGCTCGAAACAGCTCCTTTAAGGTTTTCTTAAACCATGTTCTTAAATTCCGCAGCCATGATATTCTCCTTCTACCGGGTCTTCGCGTACCTTTGACTTTACCTTGCAATATAGACTGTAGCAGGGAGTAACGGTGCTGATTTCTCATAACGTGTCCCAGATATTGCAATTTTATGCATTTGATCGTAAACACAATCTCTGGTTCCTTCTTCATTTTTCCTAGAACTTCCTTGTTCGTGATCCTTGCTGTCCATGATATTCTCAGCATTCTTTTATAAAGCCACATCTCAAATGCTTCAAGTTTTTTAATAGTGGTGTCTGTAAGCGTCCATGCCTCCGCCCCGTACAACAACACGGAGAAAACATAGCATCTCAAATGTCTCATTTTTGTATCAAAGGATATGTTGTGACTTTTGAAGATTGCGCTCATTTTGTTAAAGACCGTTCATGCCTTTCTTATGCGGCACTTTATTTCCTGTAAATTGCTCCACTGTTCGTTAATAATGGTTCCCAGGTAACAATACTGTTTTACTCGCTATATCTGCGTCCCATTAATGTATAGATGAGCCCTGTTTATATACTCCTTGCTGATAATCATTTGTTTCGTTTTGTGGGTATTAATGTTTAGTCCGCACTGTTGACTGTACTCGTTTATTCTGTCCATTAGCCTCTAAAGTCCCTCTAAACTATCCGCTATCACCATCGTGTCGTCGGCATATCTAACATTGTTTACTCTTTCACCATTTAGAAGGATGCCTTCGTCTATTCCGTAAAGAGCCTCGTTAAAAAATGAGCTGTAAGCAGGTCTAAATCTGAACATACGGATAAACAAAATACTCGTATTAAGTAAACAACCAGAATATAAAACCATCTATATATGAATATATTACAAAACTTGGGCAAGTTGATTAAATTGTTTAGCTTGGATATCAGTTAAACTGCAATGCAGACAATCAGGGTAAAATTAGATCCAGAATTGAGCAGAAAAGAGCCGCTTTTGGAAGTATGTTTAAGGTAATATGTAGCAGAGACCTAAAATTAGTATTGCATATTCACCTACATCGCTGCTATGTGTTTATTTAAGTATTTAAGAATTAATAATGGTTGCATATAAACTGAAATCTGTTACCGTTTTCCAAAAACGTTTTAAAGTTGCAGAGTTACGAGGAAGCAACGTTTTAATAAATTTATATTGAACGATTCGTTGCCGCAAATGTGGATATTTCTCAAGGGAGTATTCATTCATTTGATAAATCTGGTCTACGGGGAACAAGCGGTATACGGTTTAAACCAAGCTAACATTAAGCACTAATTATTGGGTAAGCCTTAACGGTTTGAGCAGTAACTTTAAACAAACATATAATATAAGATGTCTTAGATTTAATGTAAGATATTGTAGTCGAGTTTTGAGAATGAGAAAGAGAAAGTACATGGAAAATCAGCTGAAAGAAATAGAAGAAAATTACAAAAATCGAGAAATTAGAAATTTATATCAGGGATTAAAAAATGAAAAAACAGAAAACAATATTTTACAAAGATAAAGAGGGAAACGCCATAAGTGGAGAAAATGAAATAGCCGCTAGATGGAAAGAATACTTCGATAAATTGCTAAATGACGAAAACAGGATAGAACAGCCACAGCCTATAAGAACGGAGAAACATAGGAACCAAATAAATGAGACAGAAGAAACACCCCCTACCAGAAACGAGATAAAGGAAATAATAAAGAAATTAAAAAATAACAAGAGTCCAGGAAGTGATATTATAACTGCAGAGATGTTCAAATATGGAGGGAAAACGCTAGAGGAGCAAATGTTCAAATTAATAAAGGAGATTTGGATTAAAGAGCAACTACCACAAGAATGGACAGATGCAATTATATGCCCACTTTATAAGAAAGGCGATAGGACAAATTGTCAAAATTACAGGGGGATATCACTATTGAATACTGCATACAAAATTCTTGCAGCGTGTATAAAGGGTCGGTCAGATAGCTTAGCGGGCTGTGCGGCTGCCTCTCATTCGCTTCACTGTCGAATGGTTTAGTGGATGTGGGTCGAGCCCAAGCTCGGTGTACAGAAAACAAATAGTCTAACGCAGCAGTTTAAAATTCTAGATGAATCTGCGGCTTAGACTAGGATATGCTGGGTTCTGATCGGCCTATGGTGGAGCAGTACGGCAAGAGATAAGGGCTTGCGGCTCGGTGATACTCCTCCATAGATCCCTACCGGACGGGCGTAACGCCTAAAAAAACCGGATATATATATGTGTATAAAGGACAAATTGGCAGGAGTTATAGAAAACATTGTCGGCGAGTACCAATGTGGCTTCAGACCTGGTAGAAGTACAACAGATCAGATATTTACGCTCAGAGAATTGCAAGCGGAAAGTTACCAACACAATCTGCCGACAAGGGTCCTCTTCATTGATTTCAAACAAGCGTACGATAGAATAAAACGGAACCAAATGAGCAAAGCACTAGAAGAATTGGGTATCAGTAGAAAACTTATAAGAATGATACAAATAACGTTGTCCAAGACTGAGAGCAGAGTTAAAATAAATAATATAATGTCGGAAAAATTTGAAGTCAGTGAAGGAGTGAGGCAAGGAGATCCCCTATCATCGATACTATTCAGCTTGTGTTTGGAGAAGGTCATACGAGATGCAAATGTCAACAGAGAGGAATTGTTATACCAAAGAAAGCACCAATGTCTAGCCTTTGCTGACGATGTAGTAATACTGGCACGAAGCAAATGGGAGCCACAAGAAATAGTAAAGAGGCTAGATAGAGAGGCAAAGAAAATAGGCTTAGCCATCAACGAAAGTAAGACAAAATACATGGAATGGATAGATGACAGTGAACAAAAAGGAGGAAATCTAAAAATAAAAGTAGAGGGTGAAAAAGCATATATATTTGAAGCAGTGGAAAGATTTACATACCTGGGGTCGATGTTCACATGCAAACCAAATATTAGAGAGGAGCTACAATCAAGAATAATGGCAGAAAACCGATGCGTGTACTCATTAAACAGGCTATTAAAAAGTAAACAGATATCTAGGAATGCCAAAATAAGGATTTACAAAACAGTTATACAACCAGTGGTAACCTACACCAGTGAAGTGTGGACACTGAACAAAGGTGAAACAGGTATGCTCGAAATATGGAAAAGGAAGGTTTTGAGAAAGATATTTGGAGGCAAGATAATAGACAATACATGGAAAAGAAGAACAAATAAAGAATTAGAAGATATGTACAAGAATCCTAGTATAGTGGGAGTAGTAAAGGCTCAGAGACTCAGGTGGCTAGGGCACATAGAAAGAATGACAAATTCTCGAGTACCAAAAATGATGCTGATGCATATAATGGGTACAAAAAAGGAGAGGAACGCCGAGAAGTGGATGGAAGCAAGAAGTAGAGAAAGACCTAGAAACACTGGGAATAGAAAGATGGAAGCACAAGGCTACTAATAGGAAGAAATGGAAACCAATAACATCTCAAGCCATGGGCCTACTAGGCTCGTAGTGCTGTTATATATATATATATATATATATATATATATTATATATATAATATATATTATATATATATATATATATATATATATATATATTGTAGTCGATGTAATTTATACGTTTTATAAACACTGATTTCAAATTATTTGAGATCCGTGTTGTAACGTTATAAACGTCACATCTTTATTAATTTATATTTAAATAATTATTTTATTTTAATTTCTTTATTAATTTATTAATTCGTTTACCTCCAGTTTCGTTTTTACTATTTTTTCTTCAAAAAGTAGTGGCGCCCTCTGTCTTTTTTTGTTTCTCTTTCCGGTAAAATAAATATTTGCCTTCTCCCTCTCTGTCCGATAGACTAAATATTCTGTTCTATGTTAACAGAAAAGTTAAT